GAAAGTTGCATAATTAGCTTTTTGGAAAGTTTTCTTTGTCCCAAATATCTCCTGACTTTAAACACATCAGTTTGACCCTCGTGTTTGTAGTTTTTGTAACTCTATAAAACTAAAGTAGAGGGTATCTCACCGAGCCAGGTGGCGATGAGCACGCCGTCGATCCCCTCGATGGGGTCACAGATGCGGGACACCACGGGGTGAACCTGCTGGGCGAGGTAGTACTGGACGTCCAGACTGAGACCCTCCTGCTTCTGAAGCTGCTCCAGAGCGTACGCCCTCTGACTGGCCGCCAGCGTGGAGCCGTCCTGAAGGGGGAGAGGAGAGAGAAGGTTATACTACTCAAAATCCATCTTTGTGTCAACATGCTGGTTTCAGTCGCCTGCTAATCCTAAGGGCATGGACGGCTGTCTATGGATTCAAACTTCTTTCAATGAAGGATGTCATCTTTTTGCACTAGAAGCAAGACAACCACTTTGTACTTCTTTCTTTCAAATGTACCTAGTTTTAATATATTTTGAAATAACTTCATCATTTTCCCTCTGCTCCACACACCTTGCAGATGATGTAGGAGACGGTATCTCCAGCTTTGACCCGGTGACCCCCCTGAGAGTTGATCCACAGAGCGACGTGCACGTGAGGAAGGCTCTTCTTATCCGGGTAGTCCTGAGGGTCTTTAGTCAGAGCCTGGAGGGGAAGCACGACGATTACACGAGACAAGAAACAGAAATAGAATAAACTCAATTTAAATGCAGCCAACATCTACCAGAACATGTTTCACTCTTATCGTACATGGGAGTTGTAAGATCCATAGTCGATACGTAGATACACACATTCATGTAAATATATCTAACATGTATATATGTTCATTTTAATTCATCATCTCTTATTTCATAGTTTTTTATCATTTGAATTGTTATCTTTAATTGTATTGATCTGTGCTTTCCTGTTTTTCATTCTTACCCTGTTGCTGCTTTAACTACTGAATTTCCCCGCGGGGATTAACCTGTTCAGCCCCCAGCCTGTTTTTCAGGCTCGAAAATGACATTCCCAGAACAAATGACCATAACTTCCCTTCTAAAAGGGGTAAATGAATAATCTTTTCTCTCAAAGTAATGATAAACCTGTGAGTTGGATGTAGAAGAGTCAGAATCAATATAGATGTTTTTATTTTAAACTGAATTCAGATTGAACATAGTAAAAACTGTAAATTATAGTGTCCGTCCAAAAGAAAACACATTACTTATAGTGAAAACCACCCTTGAATGATGGGATAGTAGACTAAAAGCTTTAGGAATCCAAACTATAACATATAATAAGTACCCTCTATCAAGATTGATTCAAAACAAGTGACCTTTGACCTTTTTTAGAGAGCTTTAGAAAAAAGAACCCACTTTACGGTTCATTTGGGTGCATTTTCCATATCTCTGGCCCCCCTCTGTCGATTTTGATGATTGACATCTCTTTTTGACCGTTAGAGCCAATAGAATCGAGGGGAGGTTCCTAAAAATCCATCTAAACATTACCCATTGGTGAATGAGTGATGCGCAGCCAGAAGTGCTGTGTGCTCTGCATGTGTGACCATTAAAGAGGGTTTCGTCCCTCCCGTTCTATTCTATAAGTGCCAATTAACCAATATCATTAAATTAACACACACAAATGTTAGTGGTAGAAAACTAGGCTCTGTAACTAGGCTCTGTAACTAGGCTCTGTGCTGGAACGTGGCTTTGAAAGCGGTGAAAATATTAGTGCAATGAATATTCGTTTTTTCAATGTAGTCGTCCAAATCAAGTCTTCCTGCTACCTCGGTCCTCAGAACTTCATAGAACCCCCCCCATTGGACGATCTGAACTGTCCCTTTAAAGACTTTTCTATCAAGGTGTGGAAATGTAGATGCTTATAGCCGTGTCTTCACCTTGTTTATCTCGTACTGGTTGAGTGGAACGCTTCCAGCTGCTACTTGCTCTCCCAGCTCCACCAAGTGTTTCTGGATGTTCTCCACGATCACGTCACGACTCTGGTCCGACAGGATTTGACCAATCACGTAGCTGCGAGAACAACAGAGGAGAGGAACACATTTTAAGAAGAGATAAGATAAGATGGAACTTTAACAGCAGCAACACGGTCCGAATGAAAAACAGGATTCACACTTTAAACATTAAATAGAATACAAATTAAAATCATAATACAGCAAAGTTTAAATATTGAAACAAGATATCACAGTAAAAAGTTGTGCATTTGTATGAACATGTTAAATATATATATATAAAAAAGAGTGCAGATGAGAGTGCAGGTGTTTTATATGTGATATTGTTGCATCGACTCAGTTGTCTTGTGTCTTAACTTTCAGAGAAAACCATTATTTATTTTATTCGTATTATCATACCTTTGACCTCCTGGTTACTATTTGTGTTTAATGCATA